GCCTGCCGACACCTATACCCGACCGACACCTCCGCCATAGTACGAGTATATCCGTTCAGAGGTGCTCCCTATCACGATTGCCCTCGCTTCCTATTCCGCGCGTGCGAATAAACTCCGTCCCTAAGTTATTCCATCGCACGCGGCCGGTTCCCCCCGACCGTGATAATAATTCTGTCTTATCTGGTCGTGGAAAGCGAGAGGAGGTAAAGTCCGAAGCAGTTAAATATTTGACAACGCGAGGTAGTTTCAATCAGAAGTATAATTTCAGCGAGACTTTTATCGAAATTACCAATAATTTAAATTTATATCTAATAATTCTGAATTTTTATTAAATTAGATATAAATTTAAATTAAAGTGGGAAAAATAATTAGCTGATAATTTTTACACATATGCCAGACTAAATTTTCTTTTCTCATATACTTTTGAGTATAATTCTGGTTGTGAATTATTTTAGTTAATGAATTTCCGTGGAAAGTACCCACTTTCTAACGGCACTCGCGATATTTTAATAGCACTTTAAGTGTTTCTTCGCGTTTGATAGTAATGGCAGGAAGTCGTAAAAAGCCGCGTCCATTTCGGCGTTTATTTATTTTTACGGCGTGTAAGAGGCGACCGCTTTTGTCTCGAAATTCACATTAGCGGTGCGGCGGCGCGGACAAATTACATTGCCGGCGATCTTTAAATTCAGTCGATCGACGTTAATCAATTTTATTGACCGCGAAAGCGGTTAATGACGAATAAACAGCAGTGTGAATGAGACCGAATGCGTACTCGCTCGTTAAATAATTATTCATTTTTGTAGAAAGATTCAGCATGCACAAGGACGAGCGCGGACGAGATTTCTATCATCGTAATTTTGGGAGAAAAATTATGAAGCGCGTGCGGCAGTTACATATCGCGGAGTCGTGCATAATTAACCGTGCCGAAAGAGATACGCATCTGTAATTGACGGTTTCGCGATTTACCCGGACGCGCGATAACATTTTCTTAAAGGCGCCTTTTCATTGGCGAAATTCACGCCTGATTCTTCCTTAATTATGGTTTTTTCGAAATTTATCGCGTGCTTCTGGTTATTTATGAGCGCGCGCGATATTTTTATTGCCTTCCCGTTCACGCGTATTCCAATTTCACTTAATTTAAATTTTTTATTCGAATTTTATCCTGGGCGCTAAATATCACGATCGCTCTGCGCTTTTATGCGCGGCATAATTCATTCGAATTCGTTCTCGATTAGATTAATTAAAAGAAGAATCGTAGGGGAACGGCGGGGAGCCGGGAATGAGCACCACTGTCGACGTGTGGCAGGCGGTCCGTTTGATCTCCGCGGGACCTTCGTGGGGCCTCTGGGCCTTGAAGCCCTCTCTTGCCTCTTGGCTCTCGACTCTTTCCTCACATTCTCGATGGTCCGCGATCGAAGGATCTTTTCTCGACCCCGGCAGCGTCCTCTCGCCGGCCTGACTTTTTAAGACTTTGGGACACCTGTACCGCTAATTCCTCCGTGTCTACCTGTATCAATCACTAAAACAGATTCCCGCTTCGCGCTCATAACAACTGACTGATCGTGTATGCCCACAAATAATCTGGCTTAGGAATCGAGTTATTTCGTCAAAGTGACATGGAGATCTGGATCGAGAAAAATCAATGTGACAGGTATATTCGTGTAATCAGAATTATATCTAATATAAAATTATTTACGAATTGTTGTGATTATAGTATTCACAAAGATACTATCATATCTCATTCTTCATTTATCATATTAATATATTAGATATTAAACATTTTATTATTTATATTTTTTTATTTAATTTAAAATAATTGTTAATTCACGCAAGACACAATTTGATGATATAATGAATAAAATACATTTCCTATAATATATATAAAATCCAAGAGCTCTGAAATTACGATAAGAATATCATACGCCATGTACAGAATTAATTAGTTATCCAAAGAATCTATATATTTGAGAAAAATTGTATGACTTTTTGTGTACACCTTGTATCTAAAAATATTATAGAGGACAACCCCGAGATATCTTCGAATAATCAAGCGGCACGCATCTTATGCGAAACCGTCTCGGAAATCTCGGAAGGAGGAAGACGACGAGACGGGATTGGAAAGAAGCGGGATAAATATCCCGCGTCCTGTAAGATATTGACACTTCTGTAATCCGTTTGTCGGACGTGTGGGCAACCTGGCTAATCCCGCTTACGCCCACCGGAGATTAAATCCTGCCGGTCCCCGATACCGGGCTCGTTCGGACTAACTTCGGTCTCTAACAACGAAGGCGAGCGAAGGCGCTTAAGGGGCCCCGCGTATACATATATATATATATATATATACGCCCGCGTACGTCAAACGGAGGTCCACAGGCCCGGCGGAGGTTAAAAGCTCTTGATGCTCCTCGAGACGATGGATCGCGCGCGCGATTCTCTCTCTCTCTCTCTCTGTCTCTCTCTTTTTTTTATCTTTCTCCTGCGTTCCATATATTTCTCGCGCCCGATATCGTGCGCCGACACGGCGCGGCGCGCTTTGCTATTGGGTTTGCTGCGCGGACTTCTTCCTCGCTGCTGACAGCCTAAAAGGGTAATTAACCCTTCGACTGTCCGAAGTGTGAGAACTTTACGCGGCTTTCGGGCGTTTGCTCGTTTTATATTCGCGATAACGATCGAGCGAAGAGATATTCAAATCGGATGAGAACTCTCTCTCTCTCTCTCTCTCTCTCTCTCATATCGATTTAGAGTTCAGAATTTATCCTGCAGAAAGTAATGCAGAATATAAATCGTGATACGTGTGTTCTTGCGAGACTAAGGACTGTGGGAAGAATTTAGACTCACCGCCGCCTAATATGCCATTGATGGTGTAATCCTTCTTTCCGTCATCTCCTGGTCGTCCGCCTCGAAGAAGTCTGCTGATGGAACTGACGCTTGGCGGATCCGAGAAACCCTCCTATATGCAAAACAAATTCATTAAAATTGACGCATATAATGTAATTTAAGGATGTTTTGGATATACAATAGTAGCAAAAACTAACAAAATTAAAAAAAAAAAGAAAAAATGTTTCTTACGTTTATATTGTTTGAAAAATCAAATAAATAAATTCGGATTATAAAAATAATTAAAGTATCACAAAATTATGTTTTTTAACGTTTTCATAAAAAAAAATAGTCGTGATTAATATTTTTCCTAATTTATGACAAAAACTTTTGATCGTGAATACTCCTTAAAATCAACTGCAAGAAACAAAAAGAAGAAGTAATTTGCAGAAAGAGAGAAAGAGACAGATAATATATTTCTACAATTTTTAGTAAATAACTTTTAAACGAGTAAGTAAGTGGATTTAAATCAATTTGCACAAGTATTTATTAGAGTTTTCTTAATATATGTGAATATTTTTATTTCGTTGGCAATGTTTTTTCCTTGTGAAATTTGTCAATAAATACTACAATATGCGATTTCCCATAAGAATCAATACTAATTTTAAACTTAAATAATTTCCAAATCGTTAAGTGTATTGTGTTCAGATTTTGCACAGATATTCAGAAGAAATAGTAGAACAGTCTACGAAATTTTCATGCTTTTGTCAATGTTTTGACATATGACACATACATGCTTAAGATCAGTGCGAGTTAAATTCAACCTCAATTGCTTTATAGAAGTAGAATTAAAACGATTAAAATAATTCAACGTAGAACTAAAGATTTTTTTCCAAAAAATTCTTCAGCCAAGAATGTAATTCTTCTGAGATATTATATTGCGATAACGGATTATGAAAAAAGATGATTCTCTCTTATATTCGCCTCTATCGTCTTTGTCTTTTGTTTCCGTATTAATTCAAGTCGCATAAAAATACTCGCAATTTCCCAGATAGTGATTGCTAGGTTTACGCAAAGTTTCGCACATTTCCGTCTCGATCGAGCGTTCGCCTCTTCGCTCCTAGATACCGGCAAATACGAATTGATTGATCGTAGAATTACGTGTACCATTCGATCCGCGTGTGGCATTTGCAACTGCAGACTACTGCACTACAATTTGGCGCGATTATTTTCGTGTCGGCATATATATTTGCGCCGTCGAGATTCAACGTTATTACATATTGTACGTCGGAACCGTTACACGCGCGTTCACCACAACAGGATACTTTCGCGAATCCAGGTTGCTCGGCGTCCGACAACGAAACCTGCAGATAATCGTGAAAATCGAAAGCAATCTCTCAAAAAGCAACGCGATCAGATTTTTTTTTTGCGCGGTTACTGCAGATGATGTGAACGACGATGATCTTAAATCTCCTGTAAGTGAATCGGTCATTCGAGAAACCGCATAAAAAAATTCTTTTTTAAAAATAAATAAAATTAATAAAATTATATAAATAAAATTAATTTAAAAGGATAAATTTACATGCACAGAATTATCTTGAAGAAAAAAAATTGTTATGAATGAGAGATCTGTTTTTTTTTCAAACGCCTCAGTCATTGTAACTTTCTTTTTATGATATTTTTTTATATACATGAAATAAAATCCTGCTTTGTATAATTATATCAGAAATAAATTAATTACGAAATCTAAACAGAATTACTGTTTAAACGATGAAAATTTGTCATGTTTAAGATATACAATAATCTCATGTATCTTGAAATAACATGAAAGTTTTGTGAATAGATGAATGTCCGCGCGATCGTTAATCAGTTTTTCATGATCGCATCCTAAGAAAGGGGATTCACTATTGAAGATGAACAATGACCATAAGTCCGTTATTCTGATTGTGTGAAAGACGGTTCTTCCTTAATCGCAATATTTCAGAATTCTTGTAACATACTCGCAAGCGACCGTTACGAGAAAGCTTTGCAACAGATCACAGAGACGATAATCGCGTTGGACCATTAACTTCTTCATAATAATTACAGTTTCAACGAGGTTAATAGTTAGTGATGGATGGCCACCGCAAGATGAGCTATCCAAATACCGCAGTATGCCATACAGGAGTATAATAGCGGTCAAGGACTAAATAGTAATGCGATTCACATACTTTCCACATGATTTTTTTCTCATTATAAACATAAAATATATGTTAGTGTATCTATATATAAATCACTTATTATGAAATTACCATATAAGTTTTTTAAATTTGAAAAACCAAGTAAAAAAGTCCAACTCTTGTTTTTTATCAATAATTCAAATTTTATTAATATTTAAAATGTTTCAAAATTCGATTTATACATCAATTTTTGAAATAATAGGCTCATATATAACTGCAATATCATGATCAAGATCAAGATTACTCAAGTCGAGTCCATTTAACTGACATAACAGATTGAACGAGATATATGTTAGATGTAACGCGGATAGGAAGTTTATTATAATGTTTCAAGATTTCTTCGCATATCTCGTAATTTCGTATCAAATATCAAGAAAGTCTCGCCATCCGTCGTCATACCTCATCAGCATCGTCTCGCAAAGCCGCGAAAATCTTCGCACGTACGCACGCGCCGATATCGATCGGCGTTATCAGCGGCGCGATCGCGACACGGCGGCGATCAAGTGCGTGCCAAACGGGCGATTCGCTAAAGAGAACGAGATAAATAAAGAAAGCGGGAGATGTAAGATCGAGTGAGCATTATCCCGCGAGCCACAAGGTGAAAGAACTGCCTTTTGCCTTTGCGGAGTGCAAGCGTGACAGAGAGCGGCGGCTTTAGATAAAGAGAGAAGGAACGAGGCAGGGTGATGAAGAAAAAAAAAGGAAAAGGGGGTCGTCGGTGTCGATCGCTATCTGCTGGATCGCCGATCTCAGAAACAATAACGATCCTTCTGTCGGTGGTGGCCGAGGCGTCGGGTCCGGGGCGATGACAGGAAAGAGAGAGACGAACGTAGACCCCGATGAGGCGGCTGGACCGCGGGTGCGACGAGGAGAGATACGCCTTGAGGGCCTCGGGGTCCAGGAACGCCTCCTTCCAACATTAAATGCCGTATTAATGCCGTCCACGACCGGCCTGCCTCCACAACTGCAGCGGCGTACGTGTTCTCGAAACCGTTTTTCTCGTCCTTCTCTACGACGGCTCTCTCATCGTCCTCCCGTCTCGCTTCAGAAAAATCGCCCACTCTCTTTCTCTGAACGATGTTTTCGGCGCTTCTCTTTCGCTCCTCAATCGCAGTTTCTTTCGTCCATCGTTCTCTAGGGTTGCACGAGATATCAAGACTAGTCTTGTTATTGTCTTCTTTTGTCACGAAATTCGAGACAAGATTTTTAATTAGTTTTCAAGACAATACCAAGACTAACAATAAGATCAAGATTATTGATCTTGTCAAGATTATAAATTTTTAAAAAAGCTAACATATGTATATTTAAATCACTATATTATACAGAGTTAAAAAATTTTATTTAATAAATAAAAACACTTGTATTAACAAATTGAGAAACAATCAATACAATAACTAAAATATACAATATAAATTTTTACACAATTATTTCGCTATACAAAACTTTGCGTACAGCAAAGTATGTATACCAGGTATATAAATATGAAACCGGAATTTTTGTATAGAAAATACACGTTTATCGTATGAAATATACATATATGTATATAATATATATATATATTCGTTTTTAAATACATACACACACACATGTAGTGTTTTAAGAAGTAAACAAATAACATAAATAGTAATAATTATCTTAAATTATTATATATTATAAAGATTATATATATTATTAAATATTATTTTTGTAACAATTGTTCAGTATTTGATAAAAATTGTTAATAAAATCTAAACAAGACAACACAAGACGAGATTTTTGCTACCAAAATTCACTCAAAACCAAGACAAGATTTAAATTTCCAAACATTTTCAATACCGATACAATATTTTTACGAATATTGTCTTGTTCCGAGTTTTGTATAACCCTATCGTTCTCCAACTATTTTTTCTCTCCACCCGTTCGTTCTCTCGCGCTCGCCTAATTTCTCCCTCCTGTGTCTCCTTTTAAACGTTTCTCTTTCGTTCTCTTTCACGTACATTCTTCCTCTCTCTCGCGCCATTACTTTTATTCTTCGTACGCTCTCGCGATCTTTTTACACGAGTCTTTTTTTCCTCTGCACTCACTTTCGTTTCTTTTTCTTTTTCTTATATCTCGGTGGTTTTTTATAATCTCTCCCGCCTGTATTTTTGCACTCGTTCTCCTCGATTGATACGTTTTTCTTATTGTCGCTCTCGCGGCCGATGCGCATGATGTTTCTTTCGAGCGAGATTTATCTCTCTATCGAAGAGATCGCCCTCGGCAAGGGAGGCGTTCCAGCATCGAAGGAAGGCAAGACTTCCTCCGTCGGAATTTCGCACGGTTTCGATTTGAGAACCGCCGTCGATCTTATCGCGGAGACACGTAGAGATATTCCAGATCCCGATAGCCGATACTTAACTTGATTTTTGTTGCCTTGAGAGAGGAGTGCTACCGCGACGATTAACGTGATCGCAAATAAAAACAATACGAGCTCGGATGTGAATTAATCATTCATCTCGCATACTTTGAAAAAAGTACATTAAGATTTTGGAGGACACTTGAAAAAATTATTCCTATCTAATTTAATTTATTAGTGAGTTTGATCGATATCGATGATTTCCTATCTTTTCTTTTTTTTTGTATTTTTTTTATATCCACAATTCATTAACACCTACGTTTAGTAAGACTCGTAATTAAATATTTTGTTAAACTTAGCACCGACATCATCTGGGTAATTAATCTTCGCTCTTTGCAGTAATATCTTCTTCCGTACATGTATTATGATGATGTTTTTTTTATCATAAAAAGACATCAAGGGATATGTCGGGATTAGAGGTAATGCGGAAGAAATTATTCACGGAAAAGTTTATTTGTGTGCATGGGTGTGTGTGTGTGTGTGTGTGTGTGTGTGTGTGTGTGTGTGTGTGTGTGTATATGTCTATGTGCATACTCGAAAATCGAGATGCGGAGGTGTTACGCCAATGAGGCGTGGGTGTAGACGGCGGTCAGTAACGTATTAAAGGACACGCGAGTTGCCTGGGGCCACTCACGTACCCCGCCGTTCGCCTCGTGCACGCCTCGTGCACAAGATTAAAAAGCCCCATTGAGTATGATTCCCGAGAGAGATAGAGAGTAATCGCGCGCAGAAAACATCCGTGTTCGATTGAAGGATCGAGCAATGGCTCGCGGGATTTTCGCGGATGGAAAAATGCCCGCATGATCGGAATAATGAATCGCATTTCAAAAAGCAATTCGAGAGATGCAAATGTCAAAAATATTTGATATATTTTTACAAGGCTTGCACACATGTTTTGTCCTTCTTTGTAGTAATAAATTTTAATTACACTCTTGGTACTATCAAAATTATATTTTTATATTTTAATTACACTCTTGGTATTATTATAGTTTTATTTTTTTAAATTTAATTTTTTTATATTTATAATTTTGTATATTTTTTTAATTATCCAATGCTTTTTCAATTTATATTGAAAATATTATCTTTCTGGCTTTCACGCGTGGTTTATATTTACAGTTATATCAAATCATGTGACAATTATTATTAAAATATTATTATTATTCTACATTTTGTTGTTTTATTACTTAATTCAAGACTTAAAACGCATTAATTTATTTTTCATTTTATGTGAATAATTAAAAAATATAATAATAATAATACAAATAATATTTTTTACCTTCATAAGTTTGTCTCTGATCTCCCAGGAGAATATTCCAGGATTGTCTCTCTTTAATTCCTCGATCCTCGCTTCGACTTCCGGCGTGGCTACACGCGGTTTGCTACCACCGATCACGCCCGGACGAATGGATCCAGTTTCTTGATACCGATTCAGGATCTTTGACACACAACCGTGTGAGACGCGGAGTTGTCTGGAGATCACGCAAGGACGAACTCCAGCGGCGGCCATTTCTACGATTTTCAGACGAATATGATTTGGGAGAGGTCGCCCATTGATGAAGACCCCTCCTAGCTGATTCATTCGACCTTGTCCTGCAAGAAATAATCGAAACATTAGTAGAATCTAACGATCATTTAGAATCGTGATTATTATATTAATAGTAAAATATAAAATAGTTAAAATTAATTTAAGATACATCGCGCAATCTTAAATATTTTAAAATAAATATTTCTTTACTTAGAAATCACACAAGATTAAGGAAATTTTTAAAATGTATGTGTGTATCGGTCGTTAAAAAATATCCATTTTTTTACGCTGCAAATTATCAAACGATAACAAATGTTCATTTTTTTGATAAAAATTGCGAAAATATTTTCTACAAGTAATCATAACTCGTTTCTGTTGGAAAAACGCGATGAAGGTGGCGAACGAGGGAGGGAAAAAGCGGTTTCGAGGAAGGTCTTGTAAACGCAATTGCGGTGATTGAGCTTGAAATTAGCGGCGGAATCGGACTGGGGCGCAAACATGAAATCAGATAACAGGACGGCGCGCACAAGGAGAGGATACCAAAAACACGGCTAACAGCCGTAAAATTGAAGAAGTTATGCGCGCGAGGAGGCGTGCACCAGGCCGTTTCCAGCACTAACGAGTATAGAGTCGGATCGTTAGTCGAATTAGCCACCCTTCTGTACGTGACATTAGCTCCCGTATCATCAGGCCCCGGGTAAGTGCGCACGCGGTGCTGCACGCGTAATTACTATGTTTACGCATTACGGACGCTCCGAGTACACACAACGGAGACGGGCAATTATAATAATGGTTCGACCGCGTGCCTTGCTGCGACGGAATGTCTCATTGTCGTCGGATCATTCTCGATCGGCCGGCATCCTTTTCGAGAATCCGAATTAGTTTTTGACCGTGCGCGTGCACATGTAGCGAAATAGTAATCGTCATCACTTTCGTCACGTTGAGATGAACGGCCCGTTTGTCTCGGACCCTATCCATTTCAGATTTTTGCCTCGTGCGTGCGCGACAGAAATGTGTACCATGTTAATTGAAAAAGTTTTTCGGTCGGCTATTCTAATAAACGTACGCACATGATTATAAGAATACAATTATTTATAAAATTTGAAAGATTAACATGCGTCTTTTTTTTGTATATTTTTATTTATTTCTATTAAATTATCTCTATCCGATCAATAATCTTGTAACATTAAAATTTTTCCAAATTAAGCGTCTGATATAATTTCCTTTCATTTGTCGAATTATAATTGATTAGCATAGATCTTAAACAGTGTTATTAATCACGAAGTATATTATACATATATACATTCTACATATACATATAGTCTATTGAGTTTTAATGAACTGGTTGATTATCTGTTTAGCGAATATATCGTGTTCCACACACACATATACACACGAGAAAACATGATCACGTTCTATACAAGAGAACATTATGTCATGCCTATTGATAAATATCCATATCCAATACAGAGCACGATAATAATCAAATGTAGATTTGTCTTGCTCAATTTCGAAGGGACCTCGTATTAAAGATGAATATCAATTAAAACGCAGCGAAGGGGAATGTTTAATATACGGCCAGGCACAGCAAACGCGCGTTACCATTTAATTTACGACGGGGTCGTTCGCTCTGGACAGGATTGATTTATCAAAATCACACGGCGATGCAATCGATCGAATGTGTGTTAATGGCGATCGTGACTGAATTTAATTATCTTCTTAATAACCGAATACATGACGATTAAATGGCCACATTGTTACCGACGCCAGTGTTGCGTAAATTATTTAATCGCAGTAATGGGATTTTCAAATGCGACGATTAACGTCAGTGTAATTCGCCGCAAATGCACCCTTTTACGTGCGCTGTTATTATCGTGCGCACGTCGTCGCAGATAAGATCTGAGAATCGCTATTAAGAAATGCAAATCGCAAAACTATTTCCATTAGAAAATTTATGCATTATAATCATTTCGAATTGTATTTGAGCACCATAATTATAATTATAATTTGCCATAATGTGTTTAATTAATTTAGTCAAAAAATTTGATAATTTATGCACGCAATAATAATATTCCTACTTTAACCTTTTAAAAACATTCGCTTCTCTTTGTTTCCTAAATCTAAAAGATTTTACATTTTAAATCCTTATCTTACTCGCAAAAAGCAATCTTTTTGTAAATCTTTATTTAAAATTTGAAATTGTAAAATATTGATGTGTGAAATATTCCTCTCTTCTATCTTTTAATAAAGTTTTGTATAAAAACAAAAAAATAACATTAATAAATGTGATACTGCGATGATTATGTTCAACTGTCATTCTATTAGTCTAGTTATGTTTTCTGTTTCAGATCGATGATTGTTTGTATAGAGATCACTCGTGCAGAATAATTGTGATCGCGTGAGAACACAAACCAACCTTGGAACGGATATCCGCCGAAGATGGGCCTCATTCCGCTGGTGACATCCATGCCGCCGGCCGTGATCCTTGCTGCGTTATTCGACACTGACACACACTGACCGGAAACTTCACTTTTGCCACTTTTACGTCGAGAAGCGCGCGTCCTTTGCACTCGCCACTCGCCTCAAAAGGAAAAGACTCTTTGTCTAGCATCCAGATTCGGAGAGAGAAGTGGTCGCGCGTAGATCCAGGTAGAGTGGTTCCAGGTAGACGTAGAGGCCGAGTAGGATCGCGCAAGAAAGATGAAGAGAGAAAATGAAAAAAAAAAAGAATAAACAAAGAGAAGAAGAGAGAGAAAGAGAAGAAGGTTATAAAACGAAAGAAAGAAATAAAACGCGGCCTTCGTTTTACAGGGGGTGTCAACGCGAAGCTGCCACGATGATGCTCGAAGACGGGGGCAACGTCGCGATCGCGCACGTTCCTGAATCGGGAAACAAGAAAACGAATCGGCAAGCACGCGTTGCTTTCGTTGCGAGGGGTACTGCGGCAATAACGTGTCAGCTGTGGGGTACCGGGTGTCTCGTGTGTCTCTCCCTCGAGAGAGAGCACCGAGGGGGGCTCTCTCACGGACGACGAAGCGGAGGGTAGAAGGGGGCCCTCTCGCTGGTCTCTCGCTGGGACTCATGATACCAACGAGGTCCCACTGTTGGATACGCCCTGCCACGTTGGTTGGCAAACGAATACCTTACAATGGGCGGCTCTGCCCATGAGGCCGCCCATGGAACGTGTTTCCGTGTATATCGTCTCAGAGGATTGCATCGCGTGTATCGCTACTCTACTGATACGTGTATGCTACCAACGATGGTAGTACGGCCAGTCAAGTGATTGCTGATCGTAAAGTCAATTTTGGGTGAAGCGCGTCGCCTTCGACGCGAGTTTAAATCCTAAGTATAGTGGAGTAATGTGAATATTCTCAGATTAAAAATAATACACGCAATATCTTTGAGATAATGGACCAAATAACAGAACGAATGCCAATTTATTTTTACGATTATTATTGTAATATTCTCTAAATAGTCTTTTGCATTTTTTTATTTTCTTCTGCAATTTATTTCATGATATGTTTCTCTAAATACATTCAACTTTTTAATAAACTAATATAAAAAAAAAAATTAATAATAATATTAATATAAAATATATAAAAATTGTCCAAAAATCTCTAATAATTGCAAATGTGCATAAGTCACGATCGACGAGCGCTCATCATCTCTCATCATTTCATCTAACAACCAGGATGCACCCTCCAAGAGAGATGAATTATGGCAAGACAAAACGGAAAGCAATAAATGGATACAAAACTATCAGCATGCAGGACATAGGGGATATTACTCGACAATGGCTTCTGGACAATACGAGATTTTTCTTGGCTTACCAATAGCCTGTCACAAATTAACTTGCGGCAGTGTTTCCTATTGCACTCTTTGAAAACATCCACCGCCGTCGTGTTCGCTCAAAATGACAGAATATTTACGGCCATAATTACCCGAGAATAAAATTGTAATGAACTTATGATGGGGCCCCGTATAAATTTGTACTAAGAGCAGACTCCATAAAAGTGTGCCCGTATACTTCTGTAAATCTTCCCACACAGTAGCAAAATCCCGGCAAGTCAAAGCTTGTGAGAGCGGCGGGGGGTCCTGTGGGATTCACCGGAACAAGCGCTTCCTTCTGTGAAAGATTCTCTCGAGATATTTTTTCTACTGCAAAGAACAAGAAGTCACGAAAAAAAAAGAACCCGCCGTAGATGGCTATAAATATTGTGCACCACTTTTCGTCGGTCGAAGAGCCGGCCAAAGATTTACAATTGATCAGCAAAACGCAATTTGGCAAAATCATTTCAAATGACCTGAACTTTCGAGAAGTCAATGTCTGTATACAGAAGATTATACTCTTCAGAAAAATAACTTTTGATTACAAATTCTGTGAATTTGCAAATAAATTTTCTTCTTTTTAATGGAAACTTAATTGAACACGCTATATTATTACAATACATAAATAATTTAATTTATATTAAAATATATATGATATATTGAAAAATATATACAAGATTTTAAGATAAATGAAACTGTATATACAAAAAACTATATGTATAATTAAATAATTGTGTTTTTTGCACTATCAAGAACACACACAAATCAATCTTTTATACTTCTTGACACAATATTTTATATGGCATCGACGTTATAAATTTATATACAAAATTTAAAATTATGATATATGTGCCTATATTTGTAACAGCAATTTATATATTTTTTTCAAAAAATAATTATATTTTAAAACATTAGAAATTATTGATATTATATATACGGTCCACATCAACTTTAATTGTTTAGCAAGACATCTCGTAAATAAAAGAAAACTTGTCGATTTTCAGATAGATCATGTTTGTGCAATTTCACAACAGAGAGTTAAAACAGTTCCGCTTTTATCGTAATCCACCGTTTCATCCATCAATTTACCCTGCCGTTAACAACGATTTTGACAAACATCCGATTGAACGTGCGCTACCGACGGGGGTTCCCGAAAAATGCATTTATATGACAATTAGCCGGCCGAAAAGAGCGTGACATCGCGAAGAAAGAAGTGTTGCAAAGTCGAATTCGTTTCGTGCGCTTCCCGGGCGAGCGTAGACAAACCCGGTCTCAATATTTCCGTGTCGGCATTTTTTCGTGCTTTGTCTAGGAACTGGTAAATCGTGCGTGAAGTGTAGTCGAGTGCCGTTGGGCTCTGGATCACCAGTGGTCCCCGCGGGAAAAGGTTCCGGCTCGATTGATCCTCGCGACAAGGTTGCACGGACGGGAAAGGATCGTAGATGAAGAGGCAGGCGAGGTCTCGGGTGGCAACGCTATAATGCGGAAGAAATTGATTAGCCGATTTCGAAGTCTCGTGAGGATGAAAATCGGTCGGATTTAGCCTTTTGTCGAAAGGCGGATGTTTTTCTCGCAATCGATGTCTCGTTTAAAATTGAATTTGTCGCTGTAACAGAAGAGCTCGTTTTTCATCCCTTTTCTACCACTAATCGGTAGGATAATTCAGTATGTTTCGGTCATTTCACGAAAACTACTAAAAAAAAAAATATTTTAAACTCTTCATTGTCGAATCTAAATTCGCAGAAATTAAGTTTCATACAAGTAAACCATATAGTGTGTATGCGCAAACCGTTTATTTTTTACATTTTAATTAATAACCTTCAGTTTTGATTTTTTTTATACATTATACATATAAATACGAGTATAACACCTATGGAAAATTTAAACTTTTAATTACAAGTTTAATAAAACTCGCAAAAGTAAATTTATATATCCGTACAAAATATATCACCAGAATCAGAAATAGATGGTGAGAAAACCGTGCGTTTTTCATAAACGCATATAAGTTTGATCAAGAGTTGCTATTAAAACAGATGCTGCATTGAAATTTTTATCCTCTGCGCTGTAATTTGTTTTTGCGCACTCTCGGCGCAGGAGAGAAAGCTCTTACCCGCGGATAAGGAATGCTCTGCGAATATGGCTGTTCAAACCGATCGCACGGTTAAATCGCTCGGCAGTTAAACCGTGAAATAAAACGATTCCGCTTCCGCGCGCGCGATTAGACATCGTCGCGCGCGGAAACACCTGTATATAACTGCGTAATCACAAAGCGCACGGTCTCACGTAAGTCGATACTTCTTCAACGCGAGAGGCAGCCGAGGGAAAGGTATTCAAGGCTCGACCGAAATAACAAAGGAAAAAAAATAAATGAAAATAAAGAGAAGAGAGGAGACAGGAAGATGAAGAGGAAACGGCCAGCGGGAGGGGAAAGAGGCCGGAGCATTTAGGAGCACCTCGCGGCGTCGTTCTCGCTGCAGTTCTCGATTTCCGAGGGCAGTGCCCACTAAACGGCCGCATTAAAAATTCTAATGGGAGAAGGGAGGGGGAGGAGGCCACTGCGCGTCGTCTACCCATGGCTTTCTCACCTAGTTTAACATAACAACGGGCCGCGGTCTGGAAAAGTCCGAAGAAATTCGTTCATCGCGCTCTCTCTCTCTCTCTCTCGTACCCCATAATGTGTAATGTGTATCGTGCGTGTATATGCGTGTGCACGCGCGTATATGTATTGGTAATCGGTGCGGGCCGCGCCGCAGGCGTCTTTGACAACGAGACTGATGTCGGCGTATCACTCATCAAGATTTATCGGGACTTAGACTAATTGCCGCTTTTAATAGAAATTCGTGCGCGCCGGGATCGACGGAACGTGTCGGAGCGCGTCGGGCGGGAAAAAAGGGGCCCGGGCCCCATCAAAGGAACGCCCGAAATTGTTTTGCATTCTACGCTCGAATTCGTGGGTGGACGATCGATGACCTCGAGTCATTTCTTTCCAGTAATTGAATTGGAATCTTATTAGGCACTTGAAGTTTCTATATGAGAGGTGTCGGCGCGGACGGTAAAAATGAATATTCATCTTCTGAATAATTCGACGATTATTTCATCGAGTTTATATAAGAGACCATGGCACGTAAGATGCAGCATGAAGGACTAGACATATTTCGATAGGGATCGCCATATGCTGTTTATATTAAATTTAAACTTTAAATAACTTTCTCTGTATATTTTTCTAAATTATATATATTTGAATTTGAAATTTTTTATTTCTTATATATTTGCTATTTTTTTGCTTATATATTCTACATACTTTATTCTTTTTTATCGTTCCATCTAAAACAATTTTTACAATAGACATAGAAAGAATGGCACGATGTATATAAATGGTTCTTCTCTCGCACACACTATGGCTAGAAGAAAAACGTTTTAATTATGCACATTGTGTGGTGTTTAACATCGGGGAAAGTGCGAGACTCTCGTATCTCTCTTCCGTGAGGGGGTTATCGGCTGAATAGACATCCACGAAAACTGTGGTTTTAGTCCGGGCCCCGTGTCTTTCTTTACCCGCGACCCAACCTCGTTAGACTACCAAATGACCCAAATATCTTTCCTGATCACCTTATTGAACGGATGAATGCATGTTTTGCAT